GGTGGTCATAACATTAAAAAAAAAAAGAAAGAAAGAAAGAAAGAAAGAAAGAAAATCATAAAAAAGAAACATTTTCTGGGTTTTAAGTTATTTAATTTCTTTCTAAATATCGAAGGAAAAGTTTGATTACTAATTTAATGAAGAAAAATCAGTGGGGAGCAAAAGTACTAGTAATTAGCAGGTTGATGGATTTGTGGGGCTCTGAATATCAAACGAAATGATCTCCTGTAATTAGTCTGTCTTTATTTTTGCAGTCTTTTCTTGCACACCAAACGTTACCAGTCTCCATTATTGTTTTTCATATTTTTGCCTTTTTTAATTGTTGGGATTTGGAACTTCCTCTCAAACTTAGACTATTATTGGGTAGTTATCTTGAAAACCCTGGATTGTAGCATGCGTTTAACCTATAAAGGTTTGTTCGCTAAGCAAATTTTTGGAAAAAAGAAACTATTGCTTAGAAGTTACTTCCTTTAAAAACTGTTATTAGGTGTTTAGTGGATTAAATCCAACAAATATTTTAAAAAGCAGCTGCTTTAATTGGATGTGTGGAGTATTTTTTAAGGGGTTGATCTACTCTTAAAGACAGTGATTATAGTATATTTTAAACCGAATTAAATGTGTTTTTACTTTATGTTTCTCTAATTTTTCCCAACACCCTCAATCTCTCCCTTTCTGTCCATTTAATTATCTAATCCACGATATCTCCTTCCATCTGAAATACTACGGCATAACCCACGCGTGAAAATAAACAAATGAAACATTTGGCAACTAGATGTCAAATTAGTGAAAAGTACTGCCACATGCAAGTTTTGATGTTGTATGCATTTGGGCTCCAGGTTGAACTGACGTGGAATGAAAACTACCCAACACTTATTTTGTAGCGGCAGAGTTAATCTAGTTGGTGGTGGTAGGTCTTGTTTTGTGTTAGCTTGCATGGCTTTAAGGCCACATGAATCAGACACATATGGATTTGGTGGGCACTACACGATCTGAAATAACAGATCATTTTCTCAAAATTTGTTCGAACTTAAACCGTTTAGCTGGTAAGTTTAACAATGCAAATTGAAACTTTAATTGTTGAAACATGGGTTTTTTTTTGTTTTTTTTTCAAAAGGCATTGTTGAAACATGGTTTATATTTTCTGGTTTGTTCAAAAAATAAAAAGAAAATGATGTGTGCACACCCGGATCCAACACTCGAGTGTGCACACATCCACATAAAAAAAAGAATGAACCGGGTGTTCTCATTTTTGTTTTATTATAGGGAGGGGTGCACACCCGGGTGTTAAATCCGGATGTGCACCAATCATAGTCCAAAATAAAAACGTGGTTTACATATAAATTTTAATAAATAACAAGTAGGTCAGTCCTTTAATTAATATAAATCATTTTAACTCTTGATTTTTTTTTTTTAAATTTTAAGTTGTATAATAATAAATAATTTTATTTTATTTCATAATCTTTTATAATAATATATTATTTGATTTATATTTAAAATATTTTCTTTTTATTAAAAATAAATTACTATTAAATTA